TTGTCACACCGCTTTTAGTACGTAACTAGCTCACATAACATTCGTGCCCTAATTTAGCTCCTAAGTAACTCTGCCCTCTCATTCTTCTTCTCAAAATCTTCTTTGTATCTTCTTCTCAAGTCCTAGCGCCAAACCTGTTAATCGCAAACATTACAGCGTCACAAATATGCCTAAATGGGTCCAATCTACGTGTTTCATCCGCATTTTCAATTTTTTTTCTCTCCACAGACGAGCCACTCTCTTGCCACTTACATTTCCATTCTTGCCGACAATCGATTATTGTCCTCCCCCCCCCTTGCCTCCAAAGGATTCGTTCTTTACTTTTCTGCTTTGCATTTATTTCTCTAAACGGTAACGATCAACCTTCCAGTTCGCTGGAAATTGAAACTCTGTGACCCACACAGGTAAAAAGGACGGCTGACGTAAAGCAGCGGCAGAATGCAGAAGGTTCTAGGGGGCGATACAGGAGATGGGTTTTTCTAAGGGAGCGGATTCCGGTTGGGTCAGGGCCTGTCGTGCGTTTCTGCTTATTGTGCGTGAAAAGCGGTATTTTGCAAAGATATCAGTGGGCCCTAGAGCGTCATGTAAACAAGGGGTGCAGAGAAAACAGAAAATCGACGGTTCATAAGGATTCAGTCGATGTTGCCACCACCGTTGTACTAGCGAAGCAGATGCACAAAAAGCGCTCCATTGCGAGATGTTGCGCTAGCGCCAAGCTTTCTGAAAAAGTTTCTGGTAGCCCTTCACTTAATTTTATTGGAATTTGAGACGGAATTCCATTTTTTCCTTTTCTAGTTGTAGCACTCACTGTTTTGAGCTGCAGCGAGAGTTTTCTCCCCCAGGATGGACCGGAGGTTCAATGCCGACTACTATTCATTCGTCTCTCCAATCGTTAACCTTCAGGAATTTCTTGAAGAGGCCCACTCTAGTAAACAGGCGATAAATGGTGAGCTTTTTTGAGGACTAGGAGATACAAAGACTTTTGGTGTGGCAGCTGGAGCTTTCAGGATCAGATAGCCGCCTTAAGTAGAAGTTTTTTCTTTCACCTGGAAGTCATATATTCATGGGAAAAGGGTGATTCTTAAACCATAATTGCTCATTTCAGAGTTTTTCCTTATATCTTCTGGATCATCCGACACATCCATCCCTAAGTCTATGAAGCTTGAACATCAGGATGTTGAAATGAAACGTGACTTTTGTGACATTGTAAGATGCAAGCCATGGACGGCAAGCAAAATATTCGATGGTGACCTAAAGTGAGTGTTTTGTATGGCATCTTAACTGCAACGCAATCGTTAAGTAACTTTTTAAAATGCCGTGCTTTCGCTCATAATTGACCCTCAGTGTTCGTTTGTGGGTTGGCAATTTATCTTAATAGAAAATGTCCAAGCTTAAAAAGTCCCTAAGCCGTCTTTAATGGAGCTATTCCACTTAGGTGGGAGATATTGGTGCCGATCAATGCAGATGTCAAATCACGTCGAACACATGTTGTTGAAAAGCAAGTTAACTTTTTGGACAAAGTAACTGGGTGATAACGGCCCTTTAACGACGCAGTTCGCGCTTCGAAAGTTATCTCAGGAATGCTCAGTTACAGACAATAGTCAGACCCTAAGCGGGACTCAGACCCTCACCTCTCGCCGACCATGCGAATAACTGGCTTTTGTGCCATGGGGCTAAGAAGTCGAGAGCGGCCGTGCTGGCGTAATGGATAGCGCGCACTCGCCCGGCCAGCGGGAGAGTCCCACCTGGGATAAGACTTTTGTCCATAACTTGACACTTTTGTGATAAAGAAGTCGGGGCTAGCATGGTTTTCCGGGGCCACGCGATAATCTGTTCTGGGGCTGAGACGCGCGCGACTCCGTCGCTCCGCACCCTTTCCGCCACTCCAGGGCTCCGTTTTGTCCGCACAGAACAGATATGCCTCGCCATGGCGTGCCCCACTGAATTAATGCAGCCCCGGTAGCACGTTCCTCTTGACCTCACTCCCTTTTCATGTTTAGGCCGAGGTCCTCTTCCCAATCTAAAAGCTTCCCTGTGGCTCACAATCGTTTCTTTTCGCCGCCTCTTTACTTTATATGTGACATTTTGAGATCATTTGCTACCTGCCTCTATAGCGTTTTTGCGCAGCGAACATAGAAGGCATTGCTCAGGATTCCCAGGGAAGCTTTTGATTTTACCCACACAATACAATGCCCCCTCGCTTCAGTAAAATGTGAAGCAGTGCTGTAGAGGACTAGATGTTGTGAGAGAGTGACTATTATGTCTTTCAGATTGGGCAAGTTCCTGCCTTCTCCGGATCAGAGAACATTTGAAGAGTTGAACGACATTAAAAATATCAATCCGGCGTCAAAACTGAAAACAGCGCAGTTCGTTGTTTGCATATTTTTTTTCATTTTGCTTCTTACTCTTACTTTCTTTTCCAAGGCGTACCTCTCAAAGCCAAGTGAGTGTTCACACTTAATGTCACTGTTTTGAGCGACAAGGAAAATATGGGTATCGACTACTTTTGAGAACGCTGTATTTTCCCAGTCGCTGACAACACTGACGCACGCTCAAAGCGCTGTATCGATACGTATTACTTATTTACTTGTCGCTCAAAACGATTTGAATGCCGACAAACGCTCATAACGCTGCCCCAAAATAGCAGTCTAAGTGCAGAAAAGCGCCTGTTTCCTTTCTGAATTCAAAATTAAACTATCATCAGTGAACTGTTTGCTTTTTTAAGGATTGCTTTGGAAAGGAACGAGATTGCCAAGAATCCCCAAAGGAAATCGAATTACTTGCGTGATTTGAAGTATGACAAGTTCGAAGTCTGCGAGAAGGAGGTGAGTGCTCTAGTGTTCTATAGTTGGTTGCTTGAAAGTAACGCGAAGTAGGCTGGAACCAAAATTGGGCGTTGTTTTGCACGGTGCATAAAGGGTTAGTGGCTCGAAAATAGTTCCGCCTAAGATGTTTCAGACGAACTCCTTGACGTAGCCCTGATCCTTAACTACTTGAATGTTGGTGGTTGTTCAGTCCTCTGGTGACAAAGTGCTTTTTTACAGCTTTATAAAGTTCTGTAACTTTTCTCAAGTTAGAACCAGCTATTTCGAGCGCTCCTCCTAGGATTCATCTGTTACTGCGTGGTACGAGATTAGTATCTGATACCGCTTGCTTTAGTTAACGAAGAAGCGCATTCCTGCTGGCCAATGTCTTGCTCCCGTGTGCAATAACGGATATTGTGTATCGACGTGCACACAGTTATCACATTCCACACAACAAAATTCTCTCACAAGAGGAAACAAGGAGCACTAGACTGGTGAGTTGTAATACTTAAGGCATCTCACAAGGGGTCTTTCAGATTACGGACAGCTTTTGAGAGGGTTTTTTTACAGTATGTAAGAAAACATACATGACGCCACATAAAGTGGTGTGTTTCCGTTCGTCACAAATGTTGAGCTTTGACTGGAATGCCAAATATTATTTATTTATTCATCTAAAAAAAATTAGGTCAATAGCACAAATTGATTGTAATATAAACGGTCCCCATACAGGAGCTTGTGCGGATTTACAGCCGGTAGTTTTATTTTCGTAGATTACATGTATGAGCCCTTCCTATAAACAAAAACCGGTCACGACGGCAATAAGGCCATTTCAGCTTACTTCCGCAGATTTTTCCGCGCTCCAAGAAAAAAACCAAGCACGCCGCCTCTTGCGCCCTTTTCATCAAGGACAGCTCGCCAACGAATTCGCAGGAAATTTCCCTTTTTTCTGACATTCGCAGCAATGGGATTCAGCAAAAGCGAACGCCGAGCAGTTGGTCTTTGACCACTTATTTGCCCCAGCTCGAAATGCACCAATCTGTCTTTTGTAAATGTCTCGTTGACCTGAAAGTGCCTTCCTCTGTCTTCCGGGGACTCCGCATGGCGACTGTCGAAAATTATCAGAGCGTGATCCATTGATCAGCATAAGTGGAAGAGCCATACGGCGATTGTAATATATCAAGGAAAAGAGTCCGAAACATAATGCGGATTTTCGTGGTTGACTGATAAGTAGACAATGTTGTTTCCCGGCAGTAAGGCGATTCGCTTGACAAAGGATATGTCTTCAAGAATGTTCCCGCGCCAGTTCCATTTGTAGGTGCTTTCCATAGTTCAATGTCTCTGGTTCGAATCTGTACTATGATGGTCTATATCGAGTCTTCATACAGCTTGTAAGTAACTGCCAGAAGCGCGCTGTTGGCCCTTACACAAGTGGCAGTTACTGGCCCTTCCTAGTCGAACTCGCACACAAATTTTAGGCCTTATTTCCCGCATTTTTACAACTGGGTGGTCTTCGTTTTTTCTGTTCACCTCACCTTAGATGGTATACGAGTATTGTGTATGAGTCGAACATTCGTGAGCCAGAGGCAACAGGTTATTGCTTTGCTGGCATAAAACGAGTAGGTCTTGAGGACTTGTATTTTAACGTCACTATCCACGTCTCAATGCAGCAGGGTAATGTCATTGTGACTGTAAGCGTTGTCAGAGACACAATCGCTCATATTCGACTCAGTGGGGAATGGGCGTAGTCGGGAAAGGAAATTGATGAGCTCCTATTAGTGAGGCCGTTTGTGTTGAGAAGATAAAAATGCGCACTGGTTGCTTGCCAGTCCGCTCATTCTCCCATCTTTTCATTCTTTTCTTCCACTGTTAAAATTGTCGAACTTGTGGTAATACTTGTTTTTTTACCGTGTTCGTACTTTGGTACGAGGAAGTATAGGAAAAGATGCGCTCTGAGTAATCGGGAGAATGGGAGAATGCTCACAAAAGAAATGTGGGAGCATAGATCTGGCGACTTGAAAGAGTGAAAGAAATGATTGATTCTTATCTATTCCTTGGGCGCTCATTAGCGCCTACTTTGATCCTTTCCTTTTGGCACACGTTATACCATTTTCCTAATTTCCTAGTCTCCAATTCTACAAAGTATGAACGCGGCCTTGAGTACTAGTTTTTATTTAGCTGACACCTGAGCGTAAACTTATGCTGCGGGGCGATTCAACGTTGATGAGTTTAAGACAAAAAATCGTGAGTTCCTTGTTTTTTCTCTGTTTAATTTTTATGACTATTCAATTCCTTTGCCTTTAGCTTTGTATATGTGATTCTGTGGCGGCTCTAGAGGATGGCCATGAACTGGAGCCTATTGATGACTCAAAGGTGAATACAGTATGATTACACAGCGTTAGCCTTTCTAGAGTTTTCCGCCCACTTATTGGAGAGGGTTGATGATTTCAGACTCACATGATACTCTATCCATCGTCTTTTATATTTATTCATGACACGTTCTACGTAGACTATTCAATGCCGCACTCGCAAGATATTTCAGCGTGAGTTTCATAACCTGTTTTCCGTTTTCTTTTTTTGGTTCGGGGGGTGCAAACAATGCTGAAATTCGCACTAGATTTATTACGCCTGCTGATCGCCTCTTCTAAACGTAGCGGTGGTGGTGGAACCGTGAATTTGGAAATGGTGAGTGGTCCCAAAAACACTGAAACACTCAAGCCAGTGCTTATTTGGACGTTTCGTTAATCCACGTGGAGTCCCGACGAAAAC